TCTTTAATTCCTCCTCACTTTCTGCCATCAGAGTGGTATCATCTGCATATCGGAGGTTGTTGATATTTCTTCCGGCAATCTTAATTCCAGCTTGGGATTCCTCCAGTCCGGCCTTCCGCATGATAGGTTAAATTTATAGGTTAAATAAGCAGGGGGACAATATACAGCCTTGTCTTACCCCTTTCCCAATTTTGAACCAATCAGTTGTTCCATATCCAGTTCTAACTGTTGCTTCCTGTCCCACATATAGGTTTCTCAGGAGATAGACAAGGTGGTCAGGCACTCCCACTTCTTTAAGGACTTGCCACAGTTTGCTGTGGTCCACACAGTCAAAGGCTTTTGCACAGTCAATGAAGCAGAAGTAAATATTTTTCTGGAACTCTCTGGCTTTCTCCATAATCCAGCACATGTTAGCAATTTGGTCTCGAGTTCCTCTGCCCCAGTATTAGTATACCAAGCTTAAAAAAATGCTCTATGATCTCAGAAGAGGGTACAATTATTAGACTGAAGACTAGGGCTGCAGATCAATATGTCTTTATCTTGGAGTAAATGTCATTGAATTCGCTGAGACTTAGTTTAAGGCAAATACAGGGATCAAGCAGAGGTGGACAACACAGAAAGCCAGCAGACAATTAAGTAACTGCTCCTGACCCTTCTTTGTTTCTCTTTGCTAGGCTAGGGAATAGACTCCCGTGATGTTGGAGGAGGTGGGCTGCAACCCCCAAACGCTCAAAGAGAGATGAAGTTTTAGTCTTTAAACTGCCACAATAGTTGTGCTAACATAACACTAACATAGACCCTTCTCTGAAAACTGCTCCAGGTGTGTGAAGGATCCAATGTTTGAGGTTTCACAAATCAAGCCAATCCGCATCCTCATCCCTGCGACAGATGAGCAACCCTAAATGCAAATTAAGATGGGGGTGGCTTTTTGCAAGTCCTCCTATACACTTCTAAGCAGATTTACCTGGAAGGAAATGCTACAGATTTCAGTGCAAGAACCAAAGCATTAGAAAGCATCTTTAGAAGTAGGATGCAGTGCAGAGTCAAGACTACAATAAGACGCTGGATGCAACAATCGTTTTCGCCCAGTTCTGGCAGCACTTCAAGCAGACACATAAAAGTGAGAGATCTTCGCATTTGAACAGGATAGAAAGGGGAATGTCTCCTCTTTTTTTAATCTGCAAAAATTGACTCCCCTCCCCCCAATCAGGCAAAGTCCAAAGGAACAAAACAAAACAAAGACAAAAACATGTGGCACCTTAAATACTAACTAATGTATTACATTTTTATGTGAGCTTTCGTGGACAAGTCAGACATACATGGAAACAAGAAGAAATACTGTACTGGATGAAATCCCAGTTTCACAAGTAAAACACCCGATATATTGGTGGTTAGGAAGAACAACCTTCAGAACACGGCCAAAGAGCCCGAAAAACCCACAACAACCATCAGATCCCGGCCGTGAAAGCCTTCGCGAATACCCGATATAGTCATCGGCTCTGAGACTCCTGGGTGCCTTATCCCTTTTCCCTGCACAACCCGGCAACTGGTGTTTCTGTATATATTTCAAGACTGAGGGAAGGCGCAACGTCCCCGACGCCTCTGTCCGGCGCCCTGATAGATGCATGCCCAGCCGCTGCACCAACAGCGCCGCCACTCACCAATGATCGGCCTGTCATTCTCGCTCCGCGGCAGCACGAAGGAGAACACCGACGGGCAGAAGAGGCTGAGGAAGGCGCAAGCGCCCAGCTTCCAGCGCCACCCGAGCAGCCTCGCCATCTCCCCGGGTCGCTTCGGTGAACGCAGGCTCGCCCGGCGCGGCTGCCCTCTTTTAAGCGCTGCGCGCTCGCCCCGGGCCGAAACCCTGCCCTCGCGCGGCGCCTCTCAGCCGCCAAAGGCATCCTGGGAAATGTAGTCCTCCGGCTTGCTAGCCCCGCAAAGGACACGATCGTTCCTCGGAGCATTGTGTAGTTCTTCCTCCGCGAAGGGTCTCATGGGCCCCGACGCCAAACGTAATTTTCAGGGAAGAGGTCTGGATCCGCGCACAGAGAAGACGGACAGTAACTTGGGAAGGAGTCCACCCGCCTGTCCCCGGGGAGGAGAAGAGATCACAAGGAAACGAACCAGCTCTTCCCGCCAAGTTCTTGGTTAGGCACTGGAGCTGTTGCGGTGCGATGCGTAGCGCTTGCGTCATAAATGCAATAATAAACCATAAGAAGCGAAGCGGACTGCGGTTGTGAGGATTGTTTAAAGATTGCTCGGGTTTAGGAAGGATTCCTGTCTTGCGAATGCTCGCCTTTGCATATGTACCCAAGCCTAAAGTGTGCATTATGTAATAAAGAGGTCGGTTTAAGAGAGATGCATTGGCAGATGTGTTGTGATTGTGTGTTTAGCGTGGGTGAGTTAGCTCTGGTTTAAGAGAGATACATTGGCAGATGTGTTATTGTGTGTTTAGCGTGGGTGAGTTAGCTCCCTATAGATGACACATGGGCAGTCAGTCCCAGTGCAGACCGATGAAAATATATGAAGCAGTTAAAAGCGTGTATTTAAAAAAGCCTGACTTGTTGATAACGTTAGGTATAAGACAGAAAAGCCTAAATAATAACTAAAAGGAAGGTTTGTGAGGAAGTGAGGGGACACATTGTTGACACAGAGTAAGAAAATGTGCTCTTACACATATGTTTTGGAGCAAACGGGATCAGGCTAAATAGGGTCGCTAGAAGGTCTCATATGGCATTTGGCACGATCCTTGCTTCGAAATGGCCTAGGAATCTCAGTGACCCTATTTGGTCCCTGCCAGTCTGCTGTCAATTTGTTTGCATTTCTCTCAAAGTTCCAGTTGAGAATCCATCCATAAAAAGCCCCCTTTGTCCCCTCCTCTCGCTTCCAGGAGGAAGTTTTCCATTTGTCTTTTCTTTTTAAGTGATGGAATGAATATGTACCACCCTAATCAATCTTTTTTAAAAAAACAAAACACTTACTTCCTTTGCTGTTCCATGGAGGAAGTGTTTAATTTGCCAATATCCTAAAGTGGCTCTCTTCTTAAGCCACTTCACAATATTAACAATCAGGAAAGCTTGATTTTGGTTTGTTTCCAGTGATTGCACATGCTGGAAATGTACCAAATCAGAGCAAGCCTACCCTCACCAAAAAAGTAGATGCTCCTGGCTCACTCCAGCAAAAAAAAAAATGTCTGATTGCTGTTTTTAGGATGAATCAATTTCTACTTGCAGCAGACCATACAGTGAATTAATTGCCCATGTAGTCACTTTGAAGAAAGGAAATTAAAATGTCAGATGGAAAATAATAGCCCCGTATCTGCAATACGAAGGAGGAAGCTGAAATCATAGATGAAGAACAGAGTAGCCTTTACTGACATCTGCTCCCAAATCCTTTCTGGTATTTGGGATAGAGAATTGCAATGGCATTATGCTTCAATAACTGGCAAACAAGATGTCTAACAAAAAAGAAACAAAATCATGTGGTCCTAGTACACAATCCAAAGGCAAGCGTGGGTGATACTGTTATTAGATCACTAAAATATATATAAACAGAAGCTAACTTTCTACCCCATTGGTCTTCATCAGGACTCTGGAACCAAGTTGTTTTAACAGCACCAACTGAAAAAGCTTTTTGTCCTTTCTGTAAATGAGCTGCTGGAAAAAGAATGCCTTGGCAAGGAATGGTGGAATACCTTTGGGGTGAAAGGGCTTGTGAGGTTGGTGCTGGTATTGGTCACGGATTTCTGGATTATGGAGCACCTTGTTACTAAATTCATCACATGTTATCTACTCTTTTCTTCCCAGATCCAGTTTGTAGTAAATAAGGATTTGATTCTGCAAGCCTAAAGCCTGACCACTCCCTCATTCTGTGCTTTTAACAATATTTACTACCAGTCTGAATGCTATCACTCACTTATCAAGTACTTTCTGGTCTTGCTGAATATTAGGGAAAACTTCCTAACTGTTAGAGCAGTACAACAAAGGAACTAATTACCTCAGGAGGTAATGAGCTGTTCAATACTGGAGACATTCAAGAAAAAGCTAGACTGCCATCTGTCAGATATACAGTACCTTAACTTGGATTGCTGCATTGAGCAGGGGGTTTGACTCAATGGTCTTATAGGTCCTTTCCAACTCCATGATTCTGTGACTATTTGTACACATTGCAGCAAGGAAGAAGGCAGGGCCACACATGAACATTCAATTCACAGGCCTCTGTCAATCTTTGAAAAAGCCTGATGACGGAAAACATACTCTGAAGAGGAGATTGTGCAGAAAGAAATGGGCTATTTAAGGTTCTCTCTGTTTCTATAAAGACTTGCAAAGACATAAAGGTACAGTTTAGAGTAGACTTTAGCAAGCTGCTACGCAGTTGTGAAATACATTCTTTGAAATGGTTGCAATATATACCTGCATGCACAGAGCAGGAAACAGTTCAACCAGATTCATTATCTTGATACTAATCTAGCCAGAATGACAGTATCCTGGAAAAACCAACCAACAATGAATATTTGCCTTAAGCTTTGTTGCCAAATGCCATTATCAGAAGGATGACAAAAAAAAAACTACCTCCATTTGAGGAGTCTCAGAAAGAACCATTTTGCAGAAAGCATGTGCTACACACAGTATTTACTCTATTTGCTGGCGTATAAGACTACTTTTTTGCCCTGAAAAACATGCCTCCAAGTGGGGGGGGGGGGCATCTTATACGCCGGGGGCATTTCAGTTGAGATAGACATAGCTGCCCATAGTGGCCTTCCGATGCTCGGCCGGTGCCCATAGTAGCGTCCCGATGCCTGCCCACCTCATTCTACATACCGTCCAGTACCACGCGGTATCCAGCGCGGCCGCGGCGAGCATCAGCAGCGAGACAGGGGCGCTAGCCTTTTTGATGTGACCGGCCCATTCTGCTCGGCAGGAAGCAGCAGCGCTCTGGCCCTCCCCTTGTCTACGCAGAACTCACACATGCGCACTTGCGCGCTAGTGCCGGTCACAGGGAGATGCAGGGGCAGGCCGGAGGCGCTATGGTCGCGCTGCGGCCGTACAATGGTGACAATGAATAGCACCTTTTATTTGATGTGTGGAAGGTGTGCAGAAGAGGGTGTAGTCTTATACAGCGAGTATCTAACAAACTTTATATTTTGAGTGGAAATGTTGGGGGGGGGTCATCTTATATGCCCAGTTGTCTTATACGCCGGCAAATACTGTATTAGTCCTTCTGAGTAGACTCATTGAAGTGGACAGGACTTGTTAATCACAACTGAATTTCACTCCATTGATTCCAATTAGTCTACTCTAGGGTTAGATTCAGCCTCTTTTTACAGTTTTTATCCATAATGACTTGATATTCTTTAATTAAACATTTTCGCTTCAGATTTGACTGCTTTGGTTTCAACCCTATACATTCTTAAATGGGAGTAAGTCACACCAACCTCCAAACATCCAGGGCACTGATTTTTGAGTGAATATACATGGGTCTGCCTTTTCAATTAACTTGCTTTAAAGTCCTTTTTCAAATAATACTTAATGTTTCAGTATTACATAGGTATGTCAAACACACGAGGCAGTTTGGGTTATTTAAAATATTTAATTACTTATTAACAATAAAAGAGATAAAATTTAGTAAAATAGGCTTTTATACAAAATATAACAAATTGCACCAGTATTTAATAACAATTTTGCCTTTTAAAAAGAAGGGTCACAAATAAAATCAAAGAGATACATCGTAAGATAGCAATTTCTATTTCATATCTAAATTATATGTTCTGTTCTGTTGATCTGTCACTCTTAACTTTTAATTAATGTTATTTCATATGTGAAGTAAGCACTTATAATCTCTATACATTTTCCATTAATTAGCCATTCACTGAAGAATTGTTCCAAACTTTCATTTATAGAAGTGAGATAGTACTGTCCCACAGCTGTGATTTCCCTATACTGTATTATCCTAAACAGTTACAAAGTGGTGCCTCACAAGATGATTGTAATTCGTTCCGCGAGAATTGCTATCTTGTGAAAAAATTGTCTTGTGAGATTTATTCATCTTGCGAGACATTGGTCTCAAAAAAAAAAAAAGTCTTGCGAAGCATGGTCATAGAAGAAACTGGCTTGCAAAGCACCATAGCAATTGCAAAAAACGGGTTTTTCGTCCCGTGAGGCAATCGTCTTGCAAGGCACCACTGTATATAAAAGCTATATAAGTGGAACAACTTTGAAGCCCCCCACACACACACTAATGGGAGAGATATTTAGTACGTAATATTCTGGAACACACAAAGGAACAGTCTCAGTCTTGCATCACTTTAGATGAAACAAAGACCCAGTGGTATACTTTGATATCAAACACCATTGGAGCTATCACTTTCTTCTCTTCTCCCTTCTTCTGCAGACCCTCACCACATGGAGCCAAAAGAATTATGGCTAAATATAAGCCAATGGACACAATTTAGATTTATAATACTGTACTTTAAATAAAGATCTATTTTTACTGTAAAAAGAACATAAACTCTCCAGTTATGAAATGAAAGTAAATTAGTAGGTAGAGATGAAATATTTTATAACATGAACTATCTGTTTACTTTCTGTTCTTGTAAAAAAAAGAAAAATATCACATTTGTGAAAAGTACTGAGCAATATTATATATTCTCTATTTAATGTCACAGTATCAATTAGAACATAGCTGCCAATTCCAATGTCTTAGCTGCGAGAGCCATTCTATTCTTATTGATTTAAATTCACTAAAGTGTGGCTAATAACTTTTCTCTTTGGAGCTCTCATTATGGAGCTGGGGAGGAGCTGAGTCAATTTGGGTACAGGTATGGGCAAAGCTTAGAAAAGTTACTTTTTTCTGGATAACAGCTCCCAGAATTCCCTGGCCAGTAACCTCATTAGCAAGTTGCAGAGCAAAAATCCAGTTTGGAGAAACTGTAGCATTTGCAGGAAAACGGATATGGAGGAAATGGAGAAATATTTACCCTCCGTAAATGCTTCCCTTCCTCAGTATTTTTCTGTAATTTTTCTCCTTCATGAATATCAAAGGCTAGCTGGGCAAAAACCATGATGTAGAGCAGGTGCGGGCAACTTCTAAAGGTCCAGAGGCCATAGACGCCCAATGCCATCACATTGGAGGGCCACATCTGCTGCTACCCCATGTTCTAATTTTTTTAATTACTGTACTCCAAAAAAGAATTCTCTCATGCCATCTAGTGGGAAGAAGCAACAATTTCACCAGGTGGTTGTTGTGGGTTTTTCGGGCTTCTTGGCCGTGTTCTGAAAGTGGTTCTTCCTAACGTTTCGCCAGTCTCTGTGGCCGGCATCTTCAGAGGACAGTTTGCTGTCCTCTGAAGATGCCAGCCACAGAGACTGGCGAAACGATAGGAAGAACCACTTTCAGAACATGGCCAAGAAGGCCGAAAAACCCGCAACAACCCATCCTTTGTTTTCGCTTCCTCTGAGCTGTTTTAGACCTAAGTGGGCTTTTGGTCAAAGCCAGAAGACCTGGTTTTGAAAACAGGTATTCCATTAATGTGAAAAAGCTCGTGGGGAAGGGCAAAAGCCTGGTAAAATTACCCCCAAGGGTCTTTTAAAAGTTAATTTTTAAAAAATATGTTAGGTAAGCCTGAGATGCTAGGTGGCTATGATTGGCCCTATTTTCTTGACCCTCGGAGCAGGTACATGGTGTTAAATCTGCCCCATATAATATATAATATATAATCTCATAACTGCAGAGTTGGAAAGGACCCTATGGATCATCAAGTCCAGCCCCTATAAAGAAGTGCAACATGGAATCAAATTCCCAGCCTCTGGCTCCACAGCCAGGTCTCTAAATCACAGCCCTGATCCACATGTAGGCTCTTCCAATTCCTTTTTCCTAAAGAAAAGGAAGTTGGAAGCCGGAACAAATTGCTTCATGGTTTAATCTTTAAGAATCAGTTGGGGTGGTTAACTTGCAACCCTTGAGATATTTTGGACTGCATTAGGGAGTTGCAGACCAGCAATACCCAAAGAGGAAGAAATTGTCCATCCTGGCTTTCAGAGTTGCTAACATTCACCACGCTAACCAGTATTTCAACTGTTGTAAGTTAAAGGCTGGGATAGTGGCAAAGCAAAGCAAGGCCAAGCAACTCACAAAAGGTACTGAAACAACATCCTGGCTCCTACTCCTGCTCCTGTAACCCACTCATAGAAGGCAGCCCTGAGAGAGACAAGACAAGTGGGGAATATGATTTCACCATGTCTTCCTTCAGTAAAAGCTTAATCCTAGACGACTGTTCCTAACATTTGGTTTGTTTAAACTACTCTTTATCACTGAGCTTAATTTTTGTTTATTTCCATTCCTTCCACTAGAATTATAGGTTATTTTCTTTTTAAAATCTGGCTATGGGGGGAAAAAGTTTCTGGATGTTTAGTTTAGCGCTATACATCTAGGGAAGTTGTCCCCAGCTTTGGTGCCCTCTAGATGTTTTGGATTCCAGTTAGCATGAGCATGTCCCTTTGTCTGAGGTGATGGGAGTTGTAATCCTACATCTCTGGAGAAAACCCATTTAAAGACACTGATTTAGGTGTGTGATTCTCATTAAGTTCATATGGAGCTCTGCAGGAGGTGCAGCTGAAAGGATCATAGCAAACACGTCTGGGAAAGAGATTTTTCCTGAGACCATGAACTGCTGCTGTCAGGTGTCAGGGAGGCAGCTCAGTGTCCTCCACATGCTTTAAACTACAATTCCCATTATTACTGGGACTGTTAGGAATTGTAGCCCAAAGGCCACTAATTTGCTTACCCCAAAATAGAAGCTCTAACTGCTAATATATATTTTAAATATATTTTATGTACATAAATTGTTCAGTTCCTCTTGACAGTAAACAAGCTCAATTCCTTCAGTTACACTATTTTAAACTAAAGCCAAACCCCTAGCAGATTCGTGGCATACAGTATTTATTTCAAGATCAGAATAGCATCAGTGTAACATGTTTTTTTCACATTTCAGAAGTGCGACTATTAATTTGATGGAACTTAATGTCAGTCAGTCTTCCCCAAACTGGTGTCCTGCAGAGACTGTGGACTAGAATTCTCATCATCCTGGCATCTAGCCATGTAGGCTGGAGCTAATGGAGGACACCAGGTTGAGGAAGATTGATTAGTGCAAGTAGGACGAGTGTCACCGTTCTGGCTGGCAAAGTGGATAGCTCCCCTGTTGTACTGGTGCCAGTTTTTGGGACTGAGATTGCAAACTAGCTCCAGTAACTATTCCTGTCCTCTAGGTTCAGACTGCATGAGGGGTTGCAGTGAGCATGCCCTCAGTTCTGCTACATCTTATCAGATGAATATAATGCCACTGATGGCTGTTGCTCTACATTTTTATTGTGTATTCCATATACATTGGCTCAAAAAAGTTTAGAAGACAGCATCATCATCATCATCCTTAAAGGAGAATTTCAGCCTGCCATTGTACTTCTATTTCACATTGTGTCCATTACCATTTATACTGTGTCCCTTGTTAAGATTAGCACAAATGATTTTCCAGTGTAAACATTTAATTCCAACAATTGGACCCATGTTGCTTATTAGTTACTCCACCTGAATCAAGCAAACGTAATAGTCACAAACTCAGTCAAATCAAGTTCTTAAGGACCAGTTAAAGCATAGGTTAACTCGAGAAAAAATAGTAAAAGTAAGAAAAGCATGGCAGATTTGTATGTTATGAACCATTACTAATATAATGGCTTTTGCAATCAAGACACATTGGCTGCAATTCTATTGCTTAGCACAATAATTTGCAACTATAGTAGGCCCATTGAATCAGTGAGGAATTGGCAAGTCACTGACTCCATATATTCCATTGATTCAGTGGGTCTCATCAAATTTTGATTTAGTTTGCAAAGCAAGATTTCAGCCAATGGCCAATATCTTGTTCATGCTGGTGTTAAAAAACTTACATCAGTGTATATGGGCTAAGTGTTGCACCCAGCAACAAGGAATTGTGTTAAGAAGTTGTGCAGTTGGTCACATATCCCTGATATGACCGATTGTGCAGTGCACCAGCAGAAGCGCTTCAGGGTAGCGCTTTTGTCTTGGTGCGAACGCAACTATTGTGTGTGCAAACTCAAGTTCTCTGTGTACAGTTGCACAATGGGATTTTGGCCACTATTTAGCTATTTTTCAGTGAAGTGAAAATTTGTATTATACAATAAAAATTAAGGCTGTAATTTGGTATTCTCTTTTATGATAATAAGTATCATTGGATTAAATTTGTCTTATTTCTTGTAGGCAGATACAGGTTTGCACTACAAGGATTAAAGAAAACACAACTGAACATAGTTAGGGTTATGAATGAGTAAGCATTCATAAGTTGGATTGCATATATATGATTCTTGATCACTATATACTAATACAGAACAAGTTAAATCCCTTTTCAGTATTCCAGATGCAACATGCATTGATATACAGTAAGGTTAGAATTAATAAAAGAGACAATTACTTCACAAAACATATACCTAAACATATCAAACTCTGTATACAAGAAGTGGAGACAGTCTCTCAATGGGGCTTTTTATAAAATAGTTCTGAAACATTATGCCAGCTAGGACTGTCTGTTAACCACGAGAACTTAAATGCAGCTTCCATATTCAAAGGCACTAAACTTCTGAATAAAAGGTATTAAGGCGAGAAACAGGACGTTGCTGGTTCTACTTCGCCCCACTTCCCAGATTCTCAGGGGCATCTAGTTGGACACAAGAAGAATGGGATACTAGATAGGCCTCTGATTTTTAATCCTGTCAGTACAGTGCATTGCTGTAGTGCTAGGCTGGTCCCCTGATTATAAAATGTGAACGTACATGTGCCCTTCCTCCTTTTCTTTTCCAGTAACTTCATTCTAAGATCAAAACATTCCAAATTCAAAAATAATTCATTATTATATAAGCCATGTCTATGCGGGTAGCTATTACTTCATTAACATTTGCAAATCCCATTTAAATCAGCAGAAGGCTCCGAAACAAGCAATCCATGGGATTAACCTCATTTTTTTTTCTCTCTGGCTGGTTGATGATCAAATATTGATGGTCCTCCTAATAAACACATGTTACCATGTTAATGGACTACCCCAGCTGTGAAATACTCTGAAGATAACTTTCCGATTGTATTATGAAATCAGTCCACTCTCTGGAAAGCTCTTCAATTGAAACTGATCCTCCACAATATTCTTCCGGGAGAATGCTGGCTGGAAAGTGCTGCTGGAGACTCTGCCCATAGTTATACCCATGCATATGGATCTGAAATGAAATGTACTGCTCACATGTTTGGCCATATCATTCCACAAGCAAAAAGCATTCTGAGCTAATGAAGAAGTATTAAAGCAAGTGTTTTAGTCAATGCAAAAAAAACCTACTGTAAAATTAACCAAACAAAGCCATTTTTGTAACATGTACATTTTAGCCTCTTATACGTTAGAAACTCATAGAATCAATTTAAGATATGGGGCAAATAGGATGCAAATGTGATAGACCTGTATGTGACAATAGATCACAAAGCCCCTATAATGCCAAGGTTGGGAGAGAGGGAGACTTAATATGACTTAAAATGGAAAACATGGGGGGAAGCAAAGCTTATTATTCTGCTTCTGCTTTTCCTTCCCAAGAGTGCCTCTCCAAGAGGAAAAACATGCATGCACCTTTAATTTGCCCTACATACCACATAATAAAAATCCAACATTTAATCTAGCATCTAGTTTGAATTTTATCTAGCTTGTTTGAAAGACTTCCAGATGAAAAGCTGTTTGTTTTCTAGATGAGGAGGAAGCACACAAGCCTTTAAATCACCGTAGGCTTATACTGAAGCAAACCTAAGAATAAGGCTCCGCATTGTTTTTCCGCATGGATTTTCTGCCAACATGTGCCTTGCTACTCAGGCACTGAGGAGAGATCCTGTTCTACCAGTGAGGTTGGAATGACAGCATTGGGTGGGAAGACATTTGAATTACTTCCAGGAACTCATATATTTGGGCCTGGCTTACTTGGCAGCTATTATACAAAGTTATTACCGACTCCTCCTTCTGCACAGGTTCATTGGCATGTATGGCAAAATTTGAAGGGAGGGTTGTTTTTTTCTGAGTTCTTGACAGACCTTTGGAAAAAAGAGTGGCAAGACTTTGTAGAAATCAAAGTTAACCACTCAGATGTTCAGAACTTGTACCTGAATACCTACTAAGAACAACTTGAAACTGGTGGAACCCAATTGAATAAAAGTGGAGTGGACTTGCTAATTTAAAACTAAAAGAGGTGGAGATAATTTTAGCCCTATTCAAGCATTCTAAATAAGATTAAAGTGAACCCATGAGGAAGGGGAACGAGGGTGAACATCTTAATCCTGTCCTTGTGCATTTCTATCATGCTCCATACATGGGTATGAGAACCTCTCCTACCCATGGAAGGTCCACTTGTGATTTGGAACCCTGCTTTTCTGGGATTCCAGATTACAAAACGAGCTTCCACAAATAGAGTCTTTCCTCTCCAGAAAGTCACATTATCAATGGGAAAGATGATCAAAACAGTAACAGGGAGGAAGGGAGAAAAAACACCCTCCTCCTCCTTTCTCTCTCTCACCCCAGCTCTAAATTTTCTTCAACTATCTTTAAGTAGTGAACCTAGCATATATACAAGCATGCACTGAGCATATATATGAATTTCACAAGAAAAAAAGGTTGTATTCACTCACCCGTGCCTTGATTTTTTCAGGGAGAAAGGACTTAATTATAGCAAAGACAGGATGAAAGAACAAAGGCTCGTTAATGAAGTGTATACCACGGATTTTTAATGGAAAGGAATCCTGCCAAGAGGGGAAAAGAACAAAGGAAAAATAACAAAAATAATCCAAGGCCTAGAACATCATAATTTAAACATCAACATTCACATGAGAAAGCCCAAAGAATCTCAGCATGTTCAACATATCGAATGATTTTCTGGAAAAGCCATACCTACACTTGGAAGTCTATTAGGAATGAACATACAGAACAGTTAGGGAAAATTCTTAGTATGAGTCCAGCACAAGTAAAGACCGTCTATCATGTTAAAATGAATGTTACAATGCTAAACAAGGTTAGCACAGTTTGATTATAATCATGTTCCTGTACTGTAGCATACAGTATTATTAATTTCAGTCACCTGGGTCCAGATTGGCCATTTCTTGAACCAAAGGGCTCCTTCCATTCACTGAAGGGACCAGAAACTAGTGGGGGGCAGAGATGTATGGGATGTTTTAGCTGTTTCCTTAATGTGGTGGAATAATCTTTATTGGTGGCTCTAACCCTTATCCCCAATGACCTGTGCTCCCTCCCAACTTATCCAGAGACTTCTTGCTCTCCAAGCAGGTGGAAAAGGAGTAAGAAGTGGCAAAGATAGCCTTCACCTTTCTCCAACAGGAGCAAAATGCTACTATTGCACAAATGCGTGCACAACTAGAACTGCATCTAGCACCTTGTTAATAAGCAGCAATTTGCCACTGTGACACTCCTGCTATTTCCCTTATTCAAGTGCAAATCATCAATCAGATTCTGGCCATTATTCTACAAGCTGCTAACAGTGGAGACATTGTGATGCTGCAGAATGCATTTTCAATGGACAGGAATGGGGTCAAAGTCCCTTTCTGGTATGATTGAACATGCACCTTTCCCACTGTCGGATCATATCTTAAGTTAACCAGAACTTACTGTGAGCACAGCAGCTATTCTTTTGACCACTGTTGGAGATATCTGAAATGCATGAGCAAATCTCCATCCTCTCAGGTCAAAAATAACCTTGACTCCATTCCGTTGTGTCTCAATCTCTCGTACAATAAGCTCAGAGGTGATGAGACTTACACGAAACGCATCAAATACAGTAAACTCCTTTGGATCCCAGTGTCCTGGAGCAAAGAAAGAGAGGCAAATGGAAGGCAAGCACGTTTCCACCTCCTTCAGTAGAGCAAACGGGCTGAGTCATGGTTTGCAAGAGGCATGGGCAGCATGAAGAAGTCCTGGGATTTGTCTAAGTCTTCTTGCACAAATAAACACCATATCCTTCCTAAACTATTTGGGGCAACAAGATTGCATAACTGAATTACTGCAGGTTTCCCTGGTTGGTTTTGTTGTTGAAAGGATGTTAGAACTGTGATGTTCGACCAAATGTTGTATGGAATGCTTCTATACTTAGAGCTCTAGCCTGCTTCTAGAATACTCCAGCCCAGCCCATTTCTCCCCTTCATCACATGCTCTGCATTCTGATGCTACTGAGTACGGCAAGTTCTCATTTAGCTGTTTTGGGTTCCTACCTCCCAGTCATTTTAGTTTTCCTAAAGATTTTTTGACCTTCTGAAGACCTTAGGATTCCCAAGGCTGATTCCAGTGTACAGATTATACAGATTGGGCTCTACAAGTATTCTACACAGCCACATACAGGTTTCTTGGCATGTAATCTGCATCCAGTAATAGCCAGGTGTTTGGGCGGCACACATGCATGCGCATGCACATACACTTCCTCTCCAAACATATTTCAGTAACACATGTGCAACACATACACACAAATTCCCTGTCTCCAAACACACCTCCCATCTCTTAGCAATTTCTACATCTCTCCTGATATCACTGTTTATCTGCTGCTCCAGCTGTAGGTAAACAGCAGTTCTGAAGCCAGGGAACAGCTCTTCTCTCCCCACAGCCCATCTGATGAATTCTCTTTCCTCCCCATGTATTGAAGCATACATGACTCATCCTTATTTATTTATAAAAGTGTGGGAGGTGCGATTCTTTTTCCCCACTTATACCTGAACATTGAAGCTACCAATTCACAGGGTGTGGAATAGATGTTTGACTATTCTATAAACCCAAGCCTATAAACCTATTCTATAAGCCTATTCTATAAACTGGGGATGGGAGAGCTCAAGACCTGGGACTGAGGGTGCAAGGTGAGCCACCACTACTAAAGCCTTGACAGTTCGTTCTTGCCACAGTTTAGCTAGGGGTGGGAGATTTTCCCACAGAGGGGCTTTGTGAACAATATTTAGAAGTCCTTAGTTCTACGTACTGGTGTTCATGGAGGGGTTGCTTAACTTGCCACAGTGCCCTGGGTTTGAATTGGGCTAAACAGGGTCACTTTGAGAGGCAGCATGCCATTAACTGAAAATGTGCCAAGTCAGCCCCTTGTTGGGTTGCATGGCTGGTCATGTGCCTGACTGCATCTCTGAATCTCATCAATTAGCTGCAGCAAGTTATGCAATCCCTCTCTGAACACCAACAGGATCCTGTTGTATATTCATTAATATGGGAAGCAATCTATGAATCAGTAAACATTATGTCTGACTTGCTGATAAAACAGCAGCTGGTATAGAATTCTGCTGCCTGTTTTTAGCATGTACTTTAAAAGAGGGCTACTTAACAACATAAAAAGAAAAGTTACTTACCAACTCTATAAATGAGAACTTTACTGCCATGTAGGTCCCTCTCTTTCAAAACTCCAAGGTAACCATTATTCAACAGACCAAGAATAGAGTAAGGCCGCAAATCTGCACTTATTTCTGGGCATTCTGCTCGCCACTTGTGATAATTTTTCAATAACTGAAAAAAGATTTAGCAGAAAGATATCAAGATACTGTATTGTGGAGTAACACAAAACAATTCTTATATGGTGAAATGCTGCTTCTCTTCTGCTAGCATTTTTCTTCCTCATTCTGTGCTATCCACAATTATCTGGAAGTATATATCATGGAACTTAGTTAGGCTTACTTATGAATAAACATAGGTAGATGCAGGATTGCACAAAGAGTGTTTTCTTTTAAATCTTTGTTCACATGTCTGTTTACTAATTTGATGTGTGTGGTTTTTTAACTCAAAAATTACAGCTCCTGCACTTTGCCAAGGATTTGGCATGGGTGATGATTCAAATCATCAGAGAAATATGTAATTTTGCTATTACATTGTCACTCTATAGTTCAATTTATTAATTTAAGAAAATTATTCATACACCTCTAAGACTGTTTATTTCTGTAAAATAACAGAATGACTAAAACTAAGAATAATACCCTCTAATTGCTGGATTTTCCATTCCCCCCCCCCCGTTACCTATCTGCCTAGTTAATATGCATTGCTTTTCAGGAATATATTTATAACCTTAAGTCTTTGTCAACTTGTTCTAACTGACCATCATGCATCGCTAGCTGATAAACACATTTCCAAAACCAAGAGTGAGTAGAGTAAGCCCTAAGGTAGAGGTAAATTTAGTGATCCTTACAGAACACCAAGTGAAATCAATATGATCATTCTAAAGATTGATGTATCCTATAGATGATTTAGCCTGGATCTATATCTATGCTACTTATTAAGTCTACAAAATCATTCAGTCTGCAATTTTTTATTCAGTTGTATGGGAATAAGACCCAATGAACCCGATGTAGCTTCCACTTGAGTAATCATGCACTGAACTGCATTGCAAATAAAAAATGGGGTCGTCATCATATCAGTAATAACTGATATTGATGTAAAAAAAACCACCACCCCCCCCAGTAGGATAACCACTAGTAGTATAGTATTTTTTTCTGGATTTGCACACAATATCTTCATTTGGAGACAACAGTGATCTTTCTTTTCATATGAGGGGGGAAAAAGGTTCTGTTTCAGGTAGCATTTAAGAAGAAGCAAAGCAACCACTAATGTTATATGATACTACACCTTATAGCATGGTAAAATACAGCACTACAGTTAAAGTACTTCTGCTATATGTGCTGCTTATATTTTGAAGGAGGGTTGCCTTGTCGATTTGTCCCAACAAAAATAAAGAGTTTTGTGGCACTTGAAAGACTCTACTGGGTATAAGCTTTTGGTGGATTGCAAACCTGCTGGTTTCATCTATTTTTTTAAAATAAAAACTTGCAAGATGAAACTAGAATAAAAACATTTGTCCTGAAAATTATGTTACTTTCATATCTATTTCTGAATCTATTTAACTTTCACAGAGAACAATGCTTCTAGGGATTTACTGTTATGTGAATGCACCTTCCCTATGAGTAACATGAAACTGATCCCTTAGTGTAGTATCTTTAACTTTCACAGAGAACAATGCTTCCAGGGATTTACTGTTATGAATAACATGAAACTGATCCCTTAGTGTAGTATTCTGAAATACACAACAATTTTGAGACTGTCAAAGTTAATTATGTAAAACAGCTAAATATGGCAAATGAAACAGTGAAATGCATAAGATTTGTGAAGAACCAGGCAAGCATGGATAAATTAAACAGATAAGCTCTTCTTGCAATTGAGAAATCCAATATATTTTGCTCTGCAAGTCAGAAAGTTTTTCCTCTATTATCTCTGGCCCAGTGGGCAAACTTTGATGGAAAACCTTAGCTTACTGTGCTCAAACAATAGTTGCATGATATTTGTGTGTGCATTTCCCCCTTTTCCTGGAACTGCAGGCTTTTCTTTCTCAGCAAATGTACGGTACCTATGCAGTTATTAACAAAACCTGATCCATTCGCAAGTACCTCCCAAAGTTTTAGTTCTAGGCATGATCTTGCCATCAGCACTGTTCATGTTCAGCTTTCTCATTTGCCAATTAACAAGCACATATTTCTTTTATGAGAGAGATAAAATGGATGAAATGATAAGCTGCTGTAACTGTTCAAAGACTGCCATCTTCTGTACTATTGGGAAGATTTTAATTTTGTCCATGGCCTTCTGTGAACAAAATTGCTTGCATCTACTTGGACTTCAAAGTGGGAGACATTTAAAATGTTAGGTAAAAGCATTTAAAAAAAAAAGATTTCATAGCAACAAAATATAAACCATTTATTGTCTCCTAGACAGTCAGTCACTGAGGAGAAGCTGAGCTGAAGATAAGTCTTCACACTGAGTTGCCAGCATTTGCAATAAAGCAGTCATTATGAATACATTACTTATTGTCAACACATTAATGACAAGTAGCCAATACTGGACAGTTAATTTATTTATACTTGTAGATGTTTCTCCTACTGCTTCTCATAAGATGCTTCAAATCTACCCATGTTAGGCTTTCAACTGTAGATACCTGAATGAAAAAAACTTCACACATTTACAGATCTTAACCACATTCTTACAAGTTTAAGGAAATTTTTATAAGTTCTGAATTATTTTCTTTTTAAAATTCCTAGTTGGATGATTTTTAAACAGCAGTAATAACTTTCCTATACTTTTCCCCTCTCCTCAAAATGTGCCAAAATGATAGAAAAACTGATTGATGTTAGACAGAGTGAATTAAGAGTCAACCATGTTGCTGGAGTTTAAGATCTCCTTGCTATTGTTGTTATGTACCATTGAGTCAAAATTAATTTAGTAAAGGTAAAGCTTCCCCTTGACAATTTGTCCAGTCGTGTCCAACTCTAGGGGGCAGTGCTTATCTCCGTTTCCAACCCATAGAGCTAGCATTTTGTCCGAAGACAATCTTCTGTGGTCACGTGGCCAGCATGACTAGACACAGAACGGTGTTAGCTTCTCACCGTGGGAAGGTATCTACTATTTATCTACTCGTGTTTTGCATTTTGCATGCTTTCGAACTGCTAGGTTGGCGGGAACTGGGACAAGCAATGGGGGCTCACTCTGTTGCATGCATTCAATCTTATGACTGCAGGTCTTCTGACCTTGCAGCACAGAGGCTTCTGTGGTTCAACCTGCAGCAGCACCACATCCCTTAATTTGCAATGGCCTTAATAGGGCTTTCAAGGTAAGTGAAACTTACGATAGCCTTAATAGGGCTTTCAAGGTAAGTGAGATATTTATGGAGTGGTTTTACAAGTTCCACTGAGGTTCTATTGCTGCATCAGAATTTGAACCCAGGTCTCCTGAATCCTAGGTTGTCACTCTATCCACTGTATCATGCTGGGTATATAACATCTTTTTACCCCAGTCATCTCTAACTCATTGCACAAGAAAATAACTGTTTGGCTGTAAACAACTTGTACTAGACAGTGATGGCTAGAAACAGGGAAATAGAAAGACCTGATGCCAACTGCCTGGTCTTCAGAGACATACTGTATAATCAGCTGATGATAAATACAAAGGATGGGACACTGTCCAGTTATTACTACGGGTCATGTTTTTGTTTTCAAGTTTATGCAGCAATGAATAAAAGAGATTCTTAGAACACACTCAATGTCTGCATTTTCAAAATATGCTGTTCAAAAATATATGGGAAAAAACACATTGCTACATGGAACATACCATGATAGTGGGCCACATCTTGTGTTTGACTAGATGTGCCAAGGTTGCAAAGTCAGTCGCTGACCTCAAAAAGTCAATGATGTAAAAAGAAAGTCCTTTTGCTCTGCTTCATAAATTCATAGAATCACAGAATAATGGAATTGGAAGGGGCCTATAAGGCCATCGAGTCCAACCCCCTGCTCAATGCAGGAATCCAAATCAAAGTACATCAGACATATGGCTGTCTAATTATCTCTTGAATGTCTCCAGTCTTGGAGCAATCACCATCTCCCAAAGTAATTGGTTCCATTGCCATACTACTCTAACAATTAAGAAGTTTTTTTTTTAAAAAAAAAAAATTCAACCAAGCCCCAAGCTTATTTCCTGCCTCTGTGTGCAGACATGCAGAGACAGACATTGCATCTTTCCATCTTGCACGTTTTCCCAAGCATTTGCTGAGCTTCTTTGAAACCACATTCAAAGATGTGGTTGAGGGACAGGACAGTCTGTGTGTTGATCACAGAAAGAGGGGATATGAAGTGAGGAGACCTAGCTTTCAAAGTACACCTCCCTATCGTACACATTGTAGTAAAGTATGGAGAATATGTATGTCTACTCTCAGATTACAGTGCAATTTCTATCTTTGCAATTTCTCAAACGGTCAAAGAAAAGTTGCTACATCCAGTAGTGATAATAGATTTTATGTCAGTCTTAGTAATAAAAAATGGTAGTGCACATAAATTTGTTATTGATCCAATGAGGAGTTAGGCAGAAGACCAGGTTTATTGCTTTGCTTGGCTCCACATATGAATAAAATCAATGTTGCCATTTGTAGCAATAATAGTTGTAGCATTTTGTTTTGTTCCAACTGTGAATCAATAACCACAGTACAGTACAGTACCATGAAAGGTTTGCAAGGAGGGAATCTGAATGGCAACTCATGCCCTTTAGAACTCTATTTCTACCTGCATTCTCTAACAGATTCTTAGTATGAACCATCAAGCTTGCCTATATGCACACGTAGCCACACTTATCAAGGGGAATAAACTTTAACATCAGTGGAGCAGGGAGCAAATACCATAATAAACAAGCATCTTGAGTTAAGAGTGTGATCAGATGAGCGTTTAGCCTGCTGTTCGGACTAATGTGGAGATGGGTGCTTCATTCATTTTGACAACAATCACACAACATAATCACTGGAGCAAACCAAATCATCCCCAGAGTGTTCCTACCTGCACTTTCTGGCCTTTATCAGTACAGCTTCTCCTTTTTTTTAAATTTTTTTACTACAGATAGGATTGCTCTGGTTTGATCCATTTCCAGTGCACGTGAGTTCTGGAAATGGACCAAAAGTGAGACTTCCTCTAATTTGTCAGTATTGTGAAGTGACTTAAGAAGAGAGTCATTTCATGGTATTAACAAATTCATCACTTCCTAAGCTCCATGGTGGAGCCAAGGAAGTGATTTTTTTTAAGTGTGTATGAGGACAGTGAATATGTGCTGTATCACTTTAAATACCTAAAAGACTAATGGAAAACAAATGTGATTTAGGAAAGCAAAAGCATATTTTGACAGCAGGCAGCGCTGCACTAATACACATCTGCTTTCCATTTGTCTTTTAGGTATTTGAATTGATGCAGCACATATTTGCTGCCCTAATACACAGGTTTTTTAAGAAAAAAATAAAACAAATTAACTTCCTTAGCCCCCTCACAGAGCTGAAGAAGTGATAATTTGCCAATACAGTATCTCTTCTTAATCCACTTCATAAAACTGGCATATTGGCAGCAGGCTGCTGTGGGCCAAATAGGGTCACTTGCGATCTGTATGTCATTTGGATGCAAAGATTGCTCTGAATGGCATATCACACTTCCTAGTGACCATATCCAGCCCACTCAAGATGCCATGTAGACAACTCCTAGTGACCATATTTAGCCCACTCCAGCCCACTCAAGATGCCATGTAGACAAGCCCTCATTTCATATGGCATTAAATGGTACAACCATGAAACTCTTCCACTACTACCACAGAGTTAAAGCAGAATCCTTGTCACATGTGCAGATAAATCCTACGCACAAAAGGCCTGAATGGTTTAAAAAAAATCAGAGAAATCATTCACTTAAAATTGCTCAGACTACCCCGAATAAATGCATTCATGATACAGTGGTGCCCTGCTTGATGATTACCACACAAAAGGCCTGGTCAATGGTTTTTTTTAAAAAATCAGAGAAATCATTCACCTAAAATTGCTCAGACTACCCCAAATAAATGCATTCATGATACAGTGGTACCCTGCTTGATGATTACCTTGTTAGACGAGGAAATTGCTTAACGATGAAGTTTTTTAAAATGATGTTTTAATAGGGAAAAATCACTTCACGATGATCGGTTCCCTGCTTCGGGAACCAATTCTTCGCTTAACAACGATCAAAACAGCTGATCTTCAGTCTTTCAAAATGGCCACCCACTGTGTAAAATGGCCCCCTGTTGTGTTTTAGGATGGATTCCTCGCTTTACAGGCACCGAAAATGGCCGCCCTATGGAGGATCTTTGCTGGGCGCTGAGGTATTTTGCCCATTGGAATGCATTGAACCAGTTTTCAATGCATTTCGATGGGATTTTTACTTTCGCTTGATGACGATTTCGTTCTACAGCGATTTTGCTGGAACGGATTATCCTCGTCAAGCAAGGCACCACTGTATATGTTTCAGAAAAATTTCAGATTATCCATACAACAGAAAAGATTTCTTAGTCACATTAGGTATATGCCTTGTTAGCATCTTCCATTCTTCATGACACCTCAAAAAAAAACCTCCTCCTTTAATGGAGGTTATGTATTTTGTTTTTTGTTTTTTTGTTTTGGTGGGGAAATTGCCTGCATCCTTTTCTATCCAAGCAGTAGTTATGATGTGGATGGTGATAAAGACAGGAGATTGAGGAACAAGAGAAGAAAAAGAGGGAAGACTGTAGGGTGTAAGTGAAATGTCAAATGACTACTGACTGGCAAAGGAAGAGAGAGAGAGAGCAAATGGGAGAGAATACTTTTGTCAAAGTCCAAGATATCACAAGCAGCCTCTCACTATGGACAAGGGCACCAGGACCCTGTCCACCATGCAGGGTATCCTTTAAACCTTCCCTCTTTACCACAGTCTTTGCATCTAGACCTACTTGGCCTGAGCCAACCTTAAGCCTACCTGAATGATATCAGCTCTATTGCTGGATGGACATTAAAAAGGTATTTTTTTTTACTCTCTTACAACAGGCCTAGTGAATAAGCAGGACTTTAATTAGTCAATCAACTCCGTTCTTTACTAATCTGAATGCACACCAATACTTTAAACACTAAAGCCAAATTAAATGTCTATTCTCTTCCCCACAATTATACAAAACATACATTTCCCCACAAGAGCCCCAATCATAGCACAATTAAAAGTTGTAATTAAGTTCTTCTTGTACTCTAATATACCATTTCCTGGTTTTATAACAACTTAGTATTTTAAACAAAATACTAAGAATTCTGGTGAGCATATGGCAGGCTTAGGGTAGAGCCAATGGTATACACAGGAACTGAGGCAGTAGGAATTTTACAACTGTTTAGTCAGACTCAGGTTTTTTAATCAACTCAGTGGGACTTTGCTCTCATCTAAGTCCACACAGACTGAAGGCACAAGACATGTAGGTCACTCCTCCCTCCTCCATCATCTTTCCATGTATTGTGTAAGATTCCTGCCCACTTATACAGTTAGTATATAAGATTTTCATATGCGGGAAGATTATGACCAAAATGGACAGGGATAGATTTTAAGACACTTAAAATACTGAGGTATGATGTGTCCATTGGGAACAAATGATATATTTTCAGTTGCATATGTAAGAGGGAGCTTGCTGGATAGCTCAGTGGTTTAGGTATGTTGGGAGTCTGATTCCCCACTGTGCCCTTCGTAGGTAGAGTCAGCCTATGTAGCCTTGGGCAAGCTGCACAGTCCCAGAAGAAGGGGATGGTGAACTACTTCTGTGTATTTTCAACTTAGAAAAACCTTGGAAAGAGTTGCTATAAGTCAGAATTGTTTCGACAGCACATGATGATGATGTAACAAGATGTGCTAGGAAAATAAGGTTGCTTATAAGACAGTAATAAGACAGTACCCTGTTGCTTAAGGATTAATTGGCCATCCATTCTAAAGTATTTAATGTTGATTGAAATGCATCAGATGCTCTGGGAATACAGAGATACCATGTTTCCCCAAAAATAAGATGGGGTGTGCATCAGATGGGGTCTTATATTAATTTAACCACATTAGGGCTTATTTTCAGGTGATTTTTTTCATGTACAACAATCTACATTTATTCAAATACAGTCATGTCATCTTCTTCTGGTTGCTGCACAAGGGTGGAGGGTGAGGTTTCACTTAACTGGAGCTTATTTTTGGGGTAGGGTTTATATTGCAAGCATCCTGAAAAATCCTACTAGGGCTTATTTTCAGGTAAGGTCTTATTTTTGGAGAAATAGGGTATGAAATACTTGCTATTTCTCTGTATTTCTGTTTGCTTGTTATGTGCTATTACGCTTCATCCAACTTACAGCACTCCTAACAGGTATGTGAGATATTTAAGGAGTGAATTTGCAGGGCTGAGTAGGGATTTGAACCCTGGTCTC